GAGAGTTAGGGTCGCAGCACTTCCTGCCATGACTCTTAAACTTCCTGAGTGACAAAAATGAAGTTGAGACAGATTCTGCTTCTGATGACTGAGTAGTTGACAAGAAAATTTGTTGCGCCAACATTTTGACCATGTTCAGAGCTCCTGCAACACGAGAGCAAAGCTCAACTGCTCACAGGAGAGCATCGAGAACTCTCACAGGTTATGGAGGCTCTCTTCTAATGTCAGTGAAATGCTGCCTTCAGGCCCGGCCGCACTGTGGAGGGAGTTCATTCCAGCTGCTTGGACTCAGGATCTTGTTCTTTCAGCCATGATCCATAAACCTCATGACCACAGAGGCAGGGTGGACCAGTAAAATGACCCTGATCCATTACTCCCAGATACCCAGAGTTAATACTGCACTGGTGGAAAAAAAAAAAAGAGTGGGCCAATGACTGGGCCATGAGGTACCCCAAGAAACAGTTTATGGCTCTTTGTCACCATTAGTTGTATATTTTTATCCTGTAAAGACAAGAGACAAGTAAATTATTCATTATGTTTAACTAAAGAAACTGCCAAAAAGTATAAAAGTTTTATACAATTTAAAAGTTAAAGGGCCCCTCCCCTGACCGTTTTGATACATAAATACTTAAAAGCGTACTAAATGAGTTAAATGTCAGAAAAACAAACAATAATTGTTGTTTTATTATTGTTTTCAAACAGTTTTTGTCCTTTTATGCATTACAGTTCCTCTTAGTGTTTGTTTTGTGTCATTTTGAGGAGCCCACCTGGTTGTCTAACCCCGCCCTCCCACCTCGACTGCTGTCAGAAACTTCCTGCTCAGACACTGAGAGGCAGATCACAGAACCAACAGGAAGTCACTACGTTCACCTCCTGCTGCCAGGAGGCTTTCAGTAACAGAGGAATTTAGTAGGAATTTCCACCGTTGTGCTCTGTGACTCAGTGAGAAGCTGCGGTGTCGCTCTGAACCAGGTCGATAAAGTTTGTTGAAGGGCAGCAGCTCTCAGCTGGAGGCGCCGGGAACCTTTCGTGTTGCCGCGCTCAGACACAAACCACGACACGTTCTGTAAGAATGAAACACTCGCAGCCAGCGATGCGTTCGGGTGTTGATAGATTGTTAACACAAAGCGTTCGCTGTGCTGCTGGTGCTTTAATCCAGAGGGGACTTCTGCTCGGGGGGGGGGGGGGGGACCTTCTGATCTATGTGAGAGGGACGCCTGAGGCTTCTCCACACAAGAACTGTCATTTCACACCTCCTCTGGGCTCATCCTCCTCCTCCACCCTGGCTCTGCAGGCTCCTCTCATCCTTTCAGGCCAGGTTTCACTCTGAGATAATCCCATTTCTCCTGAAAGCTCCGAGACCGTCCTCTCTGAAAGTGACGAGCAGACACCTGAGGGGACGCTGAGTCAGCAGGAAGACATGAAACAGGACAAGCTCTCAAACACAGAGAGACGTTTCTAGTTTTACTGAGGACGATGACACCGTCTGAGGGAGGTGGCAACTGATTTCACACCAAACGCCTCCAGGAAGAACTCCATGCACAAAAAACAGACTGTTGAAGGGAATTTCTGTGGACAGATGTGGAGGAGAACCAGCACCTCCACATCTGAGGCCATGGTCTTGTCAGAGGGTGAATTGTTCTCTTCAGGTCGAGGGTGAGGTTCTGCCTCAAGTGGAGGAGTTCAAGTATCTCTGGGTTTTGTTCATGGGTGAGGGAAGGATGGAGCGTGAGACTGACAGATGGATTGGTGCAGCATCTGCAGTATTGTGGACTCTGTCCTGGTTCATTGTGGTGAAGAGGGAGCTGAGCTGTAAGACAAAGCTCTCTGTTTACTGGTCAGTCTACGTTCCTCCCCTCACCTCTGGTCATGAACTCTGGTAGAGACTGAAAGAATGAGATCATGGATCCAGGAGGTAGAAATGAGTTTCCTCTGCAGGGTAGCTGGACTCTCTTAGAGACAGGGGGAGAAGTTCAGTTATCAGGAGAGACTCAGAGTAGAACCACTGCTCCTCCACATCCAGAGGAGACAGTTGCAGAGGTTCAGGCATCTGGTAAGGATGCTCCCTGGGCACCTCCTTAGGGAGGTGCTTCGGGCATGTCCAACTGAGAGGAGACCCCGGGGAAGACCCAGGACACCCTGGAGAGACTACGTCTCTCGGATGGCCTGCACCTTGGAGTCCTACCAGAAGATCTGGAAGAGGTGGCTGTGGAGAGAGATGTCTGGACCTCCCTGCTCAAGATGCTGCCCCCGAGACCAGAGGGAGGGAGGGAGGGAGGGAGTCTTTATATAACGCAAGTATTGATACTGCCATAATAAATAAATATGTCCAAATATCAGGGAGTCTTGTTCCAGAGTGATGATAGCATGGAGTAATGAGGGTGTTGCTCCAGTCTGTTTTCATTCCACCCTCACCCAGAGTCATGAGGTTTGGACCAAAACAATGAGATCTTGGGTCCAAGTGGCTGAAATGAGACGAGGAGCTTCGTGGCTCGGGGTGAACTTGGTGGAGACAAGTGTCCTGCCAGGTCCAGTAATCTGGGGGAAACGCTGGAGCTGTTAGGTGGTACTGATCCACTTTGGTCTTGGTCCTGCTCGGGTTAGCCATGGGTTCATCAGTCTGGTCGCACCAACCTGAAATCACTCAAAGCCGTCTACAGTCAGTAAAATAAAAATCCTCTCCACAGACTCCATTTTGGAATGGCAGGAATCTTTAGGGGCTTGTTCCCAGCTCTTGCAGCTGATGAGGTTCTTCCTGAGCACTGGATCCATCTGATCTCGCTTCAGGTTCTATTGAACCCAAATCCAGCCCCAACGAGACAGCTCAGTTCAGACCGGTCGCCTCTCTGAACCCGTTTGAGATCCGAGCCAGACCAGTTGGAGACGATCCGGTCCGTTCCTGATGCTTCCTGTTCAATTACACTGCTCTGTGTTTAATCTGAGCGCTGCTTCTTAATGAAGGATTAGATTTTCTGCTCTGGGCCCGGCCCGGTTCAGCTGGCGTCCAACAGCCCGCGGTGCCTCGTCTCTCAGGACGAGCAGGAATAATGTCTGCGTGTTCAACTGGGGGCAGACCACAGAAACCATTATCTCACCGTCCCATAACTGCTGTATTACCTCCTGCTTGATAATCCTGCCGTTAATAATCTGCACACTTTTTGTTGCTGCTGCTGCTCATTTGTGCAGCCGAACTGTTTTGTCCTCAGGGTGTTTCGTGGGGGGGGGGGGGTGACCTTCAGCATGCTCGCACTGAGCTGAACAGATTAAATATAGAAAATTGGTCTCTGGTTTTACTGCAGCAGTCTTCTTCAGTGGTCCAGGCAGAGCTGCTCAATTAACTCTGCAAGTCCACACAGTGTGAGCAGCATGCCTGTTGGGGGGGGTTATTAAATAATACAGCAGCTCTGTGCAGAAAGGAAAGTTTTATACAAACGTCCAGCAGCGCTCGACATAATAACTGAGAGAAATCTCTTCACGTGTCAGTTCGTCCTCTGAGGTTGTGTCTGTGCCGTTACTGCTCGTAGTGCAGGACCTTTTCATTTCTTCCATTAAAGATGCAAGTGATGCCACTGTGTCATTAATCCATCATCTTAACCCACACCTTCCTTTTTTGGAGGCGGGGTCACTGGTGCCCATGTCCAGCCATCACTGGGTCATTATTAAAGCTGTGTGGCGTTGGGGTGGGGGGGGGGGGTAACCTGGGTCAGGAGCTGCTGATTAACTGATCAGCAGTTGGACCACCTCTAGAAAAGCAGCAGTTTTGGTACTTGGCTGCATGTTAACACGATGCCAGGGCAGAACACCATCAGCAATGACCTCCCAGAGGTGCTGCCCTTCACTCAGCCAAGGGTCAAAGGTCGTTACAAAACTTATCTTTCACTATCGTTGTTTACTTAAGTAAAGAACCACAAACTCATGGCAGTTGAAGTTTTTAACCAGCTTTGTACTTGCAAAGGTGCACGAGGACAAAGTGCACGAGGACAAAGTGCACGAGGACAAAGTGCACGAGGACAAAGTGCATGAGGACAAAGTGCATGTATGCTGCATCACAGAATGCACCTGGACCTGTTCTTCTGTTGACTTTCAGAACATCAGCACCACACAGGAACAGTTCAGTTCCTCCGTCTCTCACGTCCTGCAGCTGTGCAGGCCTCTGCACAGATGTGGTGTCCGTCTGCACAGATGTGGTGCATCAGGGCAACGCCGCAAGTCCAGGTCCAGATAATGAGGATGTTTTGAGTGACAGCAGAGCGGCAGGAGGGAAAGACGTTCTCACACACTAAATAAAATCATTCATAAGTCTCAAGTGAAATATTTTCTAACAAACCCAACAAAGTTCAGTCAGGTCACATTTCGTTCTTCATCCATAGGACTTCAATGAATGGATGGATGAAGGATGAAACATCCCAACAAAAAAATAAACCTTCCAGAAGACCCGACTGAACCTTGTTGGGTTTTTAATCTGATTATTGAGCATGAACTTTGGTGTTTTCTAACAAAGCCCAACGAGTTCTGGAGTCAAATGTGAGTCCAACAGCTGAACATTGGACCAAATTGGGTCCAACAGGACCATGATCCCAACCACAGCAACTAATCTTCAACAGACGGGTCAAAAAAAGACACCAAGGTGCTGAACGGTCCAGAAGAGGTCCAGGTCCTTCAGAGAGCCGAGCAGGAACCAACGATGGAAAGAAAAGTGGTCCAGAACTCCTCCACAACCACATGACAGGCTGATGAAGTCCTACAGAACAGCACTGAGTTCTGCTGCCTGACCCAGTTTTCACTCACAGCTTTAACGTTTTGTTGCTCGTTGATCAAACGCGACACGACGGGATCGGTTGTGGGGGTAGATTAAAAAAGCTGTAAAGACCAGATGTCCTGAAACATAAAACCCTAGAACTGACCGGGGTTGGACTTTCCTTTTTCCCGAGTCCTGGTTAAAAGGACTTTTCTTGTTGCAGAGAAACAGCTGAACACCTGTTTGTTGTGTCTTCCTCCAGGATCTTGGAGCTGCAGGAGAAGGGCGACCTGGACATCATGAAGCAGAAGTGGTGGCCCCGGACCGGCCGCTGCGACCTCAGCAGCCACGCCAGCACCCATCCCGACGGCCGCTCCCTCAAGCTGCACAGCTTCGCCGGCATCTTCTGCATCCTGGCCGCCGGCCTGCTGCTGGCCTGCCTGGTGGCCGGGCTGGAGGCGTGGTGGAACAGCAACCGCTGCCGCCAGGATCAGCCCAAAGAGGTGACCGAGCTTAGGGCCCGGCGGACGGGCCAGCAGGGGGAGGACACCGCCACACTCTACTTTAAGGATCCAGCCGCAGACATGAGCCCCGACTTAGTGGAGCTTCAGTACACCCAGCTGTAGACACAGGGTTAGCTTCAGAGCTGGGGGACAGAGTAGGACCAAGTGCTCTGCACCTCATCAGGCCACAGATTGAAATCAAATTTGGTCTTTTATTATCAACCCCCCCCCTCTATTTTTTATTCTTTTACCTGTCCATCACTCTCCTCCACCTCCTCCTGAAGTTTGGAGTTCATCTGTTTTTACTGTAAACTCTGTGATTCCCAACCCTGGTCCCTGAGGAACACCATCCTGCATGTTTACTTGTTTCCCTGCTCCAACACGTTTGATTACTCAAGTTCTGCAGGAGCCTGTAAATCACCCATTTATTCAAATCAGGTGCATCAAAGCAGGGAAACAACTAAAACATGCAGGACGGTGTTCCTCAAGGACCAGAGTTGGGAACCATTGCAAACCACAAGAAGCACACAGCATACCCATCCAGCCTTTAATATTACTAATTCACTCGTATAACTAAAACTTTTTGGTGCCTTCAAAGAGAAAATAGGTGTTAAATTCCTCTCAGGAAATCAGGATGTGCCTCCTAACAATTCCCCCACCCCACCCCCACCCCCCGCACGGCACAGCATGCAGCCACACTCTTTAATGCTCAACTCCCACAGCGACGGCTCTGGAATCATTTAAGTGCTTGTATTGAATTATTGTTATGAAGTCATTTTGTGCAATAAAGCTTCAGTAATTTCCTGCACCCGAGGGTCCTGAAAGACCCGATAATTAGCAGCAGAATGAGCGATCGCTCAGGCAGAGAGGGGTGTCAAACACCGACACTCTTTCAACATTTCTGGACACTTTCCTTTCAGTGAAGAGACAAAAGAAGCCATTTAACAGAAACACTGTCCAAATTATTTGCTGCTTTTGCTAAAAAGAAACTTGTGCCTCAATAAGCACCTCCTGAATACAAACCAGACATGTTCGTCAAGATGTTCTTCAAACGTTCCAACGCTGTTTTTTACCTGATGTACTCGAACACAGCTCAGTTCAGCAGATGGCGTTCTGTACAGAAGTAAAACGGTTTGCAAAAATTTAGGATTTTATTTAATTGGAGACAAAAACAGATATTTTCCTCCACCCATGGACATGAATCTGAATCTTCTGTTCCGAGGTGGAATGGTTTTATACCTTCACTGATTTTTTTGAAAACCAAAATTAGCTTCACAAGTTTTTCTGTTTGTGGATTTTTTTCAGGCCAGATCAGTTCAGGATGTCTCTGGTCTGTAGCTGATGGAGACTGATGGAGACTGTTTGGTGATACCTCACAACAGTCTCTTTACATGAACCACGGGGCATCACACTACTGCTGGAACTGGAACATGTTTGAAGAATTTACACAACACATTTAATTTTTTTATGATTTTGTTAATTTGTTAATAGCTTCTAAAGAGTTCTTTCGTTGAACCTCACCAGGAGATTGTTGAAATGATGCTGATCAGTGATTCCAGGTGAAATTTGCGTATTTCCTCGCAGTTTGTGACTCTGTGTCCCATCCCAGAGAGAGATCATCTCTAGCTTGATTTCAGGTTTTCCAGAACCTCCAGTGCAGCTCTGTGACCAGAACGTCTCACGTGTGGACCTGGTCACCAAACGCACCAATGACTCTTATTGGGACAATAGTTTGCTCAAATTCAGAGCAACTCGCTGCAGTTATAACATCTGAAGCAAAGAGTGGTCCAGTGACCTTCATTTGAATAAAACACTAAAAAAAAGAAGCTCAGCATGTTCTCATGTGAGCCGGACACACCAGCACGGCGTTAAATAACCATTTCAGAACCGCAGCCAGTATAAAAGTATTCAGGTGTAAATAAACGTGGCACACTGTGACCAGGAGCTTAAAGCAGAATTACCACTGCTAAAATAAAAACTGTTAGTACGGCAAACTACTCAGTATTTGATGATGGCATAATTAACAACAGTTCATCCTCCAGCCTTTTTCTTTATGGACTACAGACTAACAAACGTGTCCATTATCGTAGCTAAATGTCACCTTGAGTTTCTGAGCCATGCAGCCACCTGTTTCCTCAGAGATGATAGTTTGGATGCTCCCTCTCTTCATTTGTAACTCTGGTTGGAGCAGGCCAATAAAGAAAATCAAATAAGAAGACCGATTGGTGGAAGATGAAGAAGGAAGAATGTTGTGAGAAATTCAGAGAGGAGCTGTTAAAGGCTCTGGGTGGTAAGAAAGAGCTTCCAGATGACTGGACTACTACAGCAACAGTACTTAGAGAGACAGGTAGGAAGGTACTTGGTGTGTCATCTGGACAGAGAATGGATGATCAGGAAACCTGGTGGTGGAATAGTGAAGTGCAGGAAGATGTTCAAAGAAAGAGGTTAGTCAAGAAAAAATATGACAGAGGACTGAAGAGAGGAGACAGGAATATAAGGAGATGGGACGTAGAGCAAAGAGGGAGGTAGCTAAGACAAAGCAGAAGGTGCATGATGAGTTGTATGGGAGGCTGGACACTAAAGAAGGCGAGAAGAACTTGTACTGATTAGCGAGACAGAGGGATTAGGCTAGAAAGGATGTGCAGTAGGTTAGACTTGTTAAATGTTCTAACAAGTGAGGAGAGTGTGACATGTAGATGGAAGGAGTACTTTGAGGAGCAAATGAATGAAGAGAATGAAAGAGAAAGAAGAGTAGAGATCATAGAAACTGTGGTCCAGGAAGTGAGAAAGATTAGTGAGGGTGAAGTCCAGAAAGCTCTGAAAAGAATGAAGAAGGGGAAGGCAGTAGGACCTGATGACCAGTGGAGGTTTGGAAATGTCTTGGAGAGATGGCAGTGAAGTTTTTCACCAAATATTCAATGGCATATTTGAGGGTGAGAAAATGCCTGAGGAATGGAGAAGAAGTGCTGGTGGCCATTTTTAAGAACAAGGGTGATGTACAGAGTTGTAGCAACTACAGGGGAATTAAGTTGATGAGTCACGTGATGAAGATCTGGGAGAGAGTTGTGGAAGCAAGACTTAGATGAGAGGTGACTATCTGTGAGCAGCAGGATGGTTTCATGCCAAGAAAGAGCACCACAGATCCATCTTTGTTTTGAGGATGTTGATGGAGAAGTACAGAGAGGGTCAGAAAGAACTCCATTGTGTCTTTGTGGATTTAGAAAAAGTATATGACGGGGTGCCGAGGGAGGAGGTGTGGTATTGCATGAGGAAATCTGGAGTGTCCAAAAAGTATGTTAGACTGGTACAGGACATGTATGAGGACAGCAGGACAGTGGTGAGATGTGCTGTATGAGTGACGGATAGCTTCAAAGTGGAGGTGGGAGTGCATCAAGGATCAGCTCTGAGCCCCTTCTAGTTTGCTCTGGTGATGGACCGACTAACAGATGAGGTCAGGCAAGAATCCCTGTGGACTATGATGTTTGCAGATGACATTGTGATCTGTGGTGAGAACAGGGAACAGGTGGAAGAGAACTTGGAGAGGTGCAGGTATGCACTTGAAAGAAGAGGAATGAAAGTCAGCCGCAGTAAGACAGAGTCCATGTGTGTGAATGAGAGGGAGGAGGTGGAACAGTGAGGCTACAAGTAGCAGAGGTCACAAAGGAGCAGGACTTCAAGGACTTGGGGTCCACTGTCCAGGAACATGGGGAGTGTGGTGAAGAGGTGAAGAAGAGAGTCCAGGCAGGATGGAGTGATGGAGAAAAGTTTCAGGAGTGATTTGAGACAAAAGGGTGTCAGCAAAGGTCAAAGGAAAAGTTTACAAGATAGTGGTGAGACCAGCTATGTTGTATGGTCTGGAGACAGAGACATGGACAAAAAGACAGGAGACAGAACTGGAAGTAGAAATGAAGATGTTGAGGTTCTCCTTAGGAGAGACAAGGATGGAGAAGATCAGGACTGAGATCATCAGAGGTACAGCACAGGTTGAACAACTGGGAGATAAAGTTAGAGAGGACACACTGAGATGATTTGGACATGTCCAGAGGAGGGACAGTGGTTTGGACATGTCCAGAGGAGGGACTGTGGTTTGGACATGTCCAGAGGAGGGACTGTGGTTTGGACATGTCCAGAGGAGGGACTGTGGTTTGGACATGTCCAGAGGAGGGACAGTGGGTATATTGGTAGAAAAATGTTAGAAATGCAGCTACAGGAAAAAGACAAAGAGGAGACATATGGATGCAGTTAGAGAGGACGTGGAGGTAGTTGGAGTGAGGGCAGAGGACAGAGTGAGGTGGAGGAGGACTCGCTGTGGAGACCCTGAAGAGGAAAAAGCGGAAAGAAGAAGAAGAAGTAGTTAGTGTAGGTCCGTGGTAGCTTTCAGTAATATGGATTGTTGCAGGCTGACGTCTATAAACTTCCTAAATCAAGAAGACTTATCTCCTTCAATGTAAAACAAGCAGCATCAAAACAACTCGCATAGAATGAGCCAGAGGGTTTTCCCTTCAGGATTACATCACGTGTTTATTAATTTACCATTTCTGAATCTAAAACTTCTGTTAAGCTGCTTCCCTTCATTTCCAACTCAAGCACAGTCCTCTCCAGGCCAAAGTTTTTAATGTACGACCAACACGTGCATCTTTGTTACTTTGAACAATTCAAACACGACGACCAGGCCAGAAAAAACTCAGAAAATTAGATCAAACAAACTGTTGAGGCTTTTTAACGTCTATGAATCGTTATGGCAAACTTTTTAAAATCATATCCCAACCCCAACTTCAGGAACCATTGAGAACTTTGGGAGTACGGGGGCGGGGGTTTATGAATGGGCGGGGGGTGGGGGGCATGAGCTATGATGCATTAGAAGTGTGTGGGAAAGTTCAATACATAATAAATGAGATCAGTGTGGTTAAATATTGTTGTTACATTATACCAGATTTGAGATCCATCGTCCACCCAGTGTGGATCAGAAGAACCATTTTACCCTCAAACCTCACTTAACG